GGAATCAGAAGCCAAATCCAAGCGCACTATCTTGCTTCGAGCCACCGAAGGGATTGTAGGGATTAAAGAAGGTTTTAAGGCTAAACTTGCCACAGGTAAAGTAGAGGGAGAGAAAAGATAGGGAGGATGCGCGCAGATGTTCCGCCGGCGCACTGTTCACTTAATCGGAAAGTTCCGTAATACTGGATTAATATGGAACAATTACTGTTTTTTGGTTGTTGAATAACAGTACTTTCTTCCGGTTTTATTTTGTTCAATTTTGTTTTATTTTTCATTATATTTTGTGATTTTCTTTATTAATTCCTTTAATATTCTATATTTTGTTTGTCGTTTTTTATTTTTTCATCTAATTTTTTCTTCAGGTGATCCGTAATTGATAGAAATAGAAATGACTGAGTACGTTTTATCCTTTTTTATTATTGATCAATATTTATAGCTTTTTGAATATATCTTTTTAAATATTTTTTTTAAATATAAATATTTTTTTCAAATTTCTTATAAAATTTTAGATATTTTAATTTAATTTATTTAATCAATTTAATTAAATTCATAAAGATTTCTTTAAAAAATGAACAAAATTGAGCGTTTTTTTTTCGTGAATTATCGCACCTTTTGGTTATGGATTCTCATGGGCGGAATAGTTCAATGGTTTGCTTTTCTGAAGCGAGTCATGATGTGATTCTGGCCTATTAACAAGAGTAAACCCATTGAAACCTCTCATTAGAGTGAAGTTCAGGTGATTCCAAGGAATCACCTCGGATGGTTCTGAGGAGTTCTCATCGCTATTAACCAAAGAAGCCGGAAGTTTCACTGCTATTAGAAGAAGATTATGGATCATCATTTTCTTTATATTACAGAATGGATATAATACAGAATGTTTGATTAAAATAATGTTAAAATAATCACGCATGAAGTATAAAAATCTTTTAGATGATATGATTAAATAATTTTCTAATTTTCTTATTTTTTGCATAATCCATTTCTTATTATTTTTTATTATTTTTTGTTGCATTTTTTCTCACTTTTTTAGAACCAAGAAACTTCCATCTGTGCCCGAAACAATCTTAAAAAGACGTAAACAAAGAGCGGCTTTGCTAGCCAAAAGCAAAATAAAGAAAGCAAAACTTGCATTGGTTAGTTAAAATTGTTTTCAGTAATGGTAATTAATGGTGAAGGAATGGTTGACTGTTGTTCTCATTTCGGAGTAAATGTTGGCATTTTATTCTTGGCAAAAATAAAGTTGTCTTTGAAAAATTCGGATAGTGTGGCCTATCCCCAATCGCGAGTGATGCCATTGGCAATATTTATTTGGCCCGACAAGCCAGCGAACCAGAAATGATTAACACTCTTTGAAAAAAAATTATTAATGGCAGATAGGTTCTCTTTCTCTTTTTTGCTATAGCGAGAGGAAGAAAAACCGGCGAAATTTCGATCTGCTATCTATTGTCTCGTAATCTGATTATTTACAATATTTAACAGACTATTTTTATAAGTGATAGAAAAAATTATTGGAAGAAAAAGCGTGCCTTTGAGAAGTATGAAGAGATTGTAACTGAATTTAGCTAGTGGTAAAAAAGTAAAGTGTGATAATGCAAAGGTGTGACGATATGTGAGGAGATTCGAGAGACGTCTAAAGTTGATGACAAAGAAAGAAGCTGCTTTTACAGTTATGTAATCACACTTTTTCGGGGCATAGAAAATTAGGAGGATTATTGTGTACCTCCTAACGTATTGATGGGATTACTTTTATTTTACTCTTGATTTGAAATTAGGAAATGAAAGGAGTTGGAAAAAAAATCAACAGAGAAAAGCATGGAGATGAAAGGAGGAATTCTAAGATTGTAAGATAATACGTATAGACTCTATTATTCTCCATTTTCTCTAATCTATATATCTATATCTGAGACTCTATTTTCTTAAATGATTTATCTTTATAAGCAATAATGCAGCGATGGAAAATAGAAAAGAATCTATGTAAAGATATGAGAAGGAAAAGAGACAATAAAAAACGGGGCCTTAATCTATAATCATTTACTGCCTCACCGCTGCAGCATAATCAAATAAAGCGAAAGTGTCATTTTCATTTATTCATTATTTATTAAATTTCTTATTTGCCATAAGTTTTCTTTATTTACATTAATTTTGCTTTTATTTATTGAATATATTGTCTGCTTTTTTATTGTAATTATTGTAGAAAGCGAAGCGAAAAAAGTTGTTAATCTTCAAACGAGCTGAAAAATATGTACGTGAATATAGGCAGCGTCAACGTCGTGAAATAAATCTACAGCGTGATGCTCGAAGAGCGGGCAATTTTTATATACCAGATGAACCTCGTCTGGCTTTTGTTATACGTATTCGAGGTATTAATCAGATGCACCCAAAACCGCGAAAAGTGCTTCAACTTTTTCGTTTACGCCAAATTAATAACGGCGTATTCGTGAAATTGAATAAGGCAACATTGCAAATGTTACGTATCGTTGATCCATATGTTGCTTGGGGTTATCCAAATATGAAGTCAGTTCACGATCTTATCTACAAACGAGGTTATGCTAAAATCAATGGTCGTCGTATTCCTCTTGTTGATAATACAATTATTGAAAAAGGATTAGGCAAGTATTTCCTTATTTTTAAAAAATCTATTATCTTCATTTTTATGTAAACCTTTTTTCCAACACTCCTTCTCTGCAAGTTCTTAAAATTTCTTGTTTGGTCAACTCAGCCAACTTACCACAAGATGAGATTCTTCTACCAAATGGTTATTTGAAATGCAGTTGGGTCTCCAACGTTATTCGAGTTCGCTTTTAATAATAAATCATTTTTCCTGTAAAGCGAATAGTATCGAACTGCGGTCGAAATTAGAGCAATTTTCCACTCGATTTCTTAATCTTTACTTGGAACCTTTAATAATTTTTTCGAATAGATATCTTGTTTTGCAGGTTCAACTGATTTTCAGGAAAATATGATATTATCTGCATAGAAGATTTGGTCCATACTATTTATAACACTGGCGAGTATTTCAAGCAAGCCACAAACTTTCTTTGGCCATTCAAATTGAATAATCCGACTGGTGGATGGACGAAAAAAACAAACCATTTTGTTGAAGGAGGTGATTTTGGGAATCGTGAGGATCAGATAAACAAACTGTTGCGTAAAATGATTTAAAATTGTTTATTTCGAATAAATATTTCTTTGTTAATTAAATATTTTATTATTGTCTACCAACTAATGATATATATGATATTTTACTTAGAACAATTATTTTGTTCGATTTTAATCGATATCTACTTGGAATTTTTATGGGAAAATCGTGAGGAACTGTTTCGCGTTTCTTTGCTTATTAATGGCATAAAGCATTGAGTAATTTGTAATTTAAGTTGCCTGTGATATATTAGGTTGAAGCAAGAATTAGAAATTTTTGGGATAATTTATTAGGGATGGATAACAATGATAGAAGAAATATTTCAATTTACAATTCAAAACGAACTTGATTAAATGATTTAACTTTAATTTAAAAAATTGTGAGTGGAAAAGTTATCAGCGTAAAAAGTCTGAAATGATGAAATATAATTATTTATCAATTTAAAAGTAAGACAGAATCCATGAGCAATTTTAATAAAATATGGAATATAATTCGTATTAATATTAATGAAGAGGTAAAAGAAATGAAAAAAATATGCTGGTGAAGTTAGCTGGCGTCGTATTTGTATTAGATAATTCGTCCGTTTCATATATTTTAGGAAACATTATGATGGTGCAGAAAATTTATTGCGAAAATTATAAGTAAAGTTGAGTCAGTCTCACAGTCTTTAATAGTATCGAATCCCACTCACTTTCCTATTTAGTTATGCCGATGTATAATGCAACAATTCTTCTACATTTTTGTTCTACTTTTACGATGTGTTGGAACTATCTCATTTTCTTGGCCAATTATTGTCAGCCACTATGCAGACGAGTTTTGCAGCTTCCAGTTCTTTGATTTGTTGGATAAATCGCATAATAAATCCGAGTCTTTATCCACGTAGCTGACACTATTCGAAGAGTATTCCTCGAAGTTGAATTTCCAAATTTGATTTGACGACTCGAACAAATATAGCTAATTTTGCGGTGTATATCTTTTAATTCTTCAAGGCTTAGGAGATATTTTCACTTCTCTGCGATTTGAATCAACGATTCGCGTTTGAATTGTCATTTATGTTGTCCTGCGACGGAGATTAACGGCTTTTGCAGCAAAGTGCGCGTGCATTCACCATTTACAAAAGGCATTGCAATTAACCGAGATATGCTAAAATTCATTTCAACGCCATTTTCAGATTCAGATGACTGAAATATATTTCGCTGTGGATAAAGTGTGGAGGCGTCCTTAATTCAGCTGAGCGTTTCGTTGAAATCTAAACGTTTGCTTTCAAAATGACGTTTCAAAGTCAACTTTTTTCGCACTCGCAGTCTGGTTACAAATAATTTTCTTAGTGCTTCGAGTTAGGAAGTATTTTTCCGTTCAGTCAGCTTGAAAAATTCGGTGCTCCTCTTCGGTTTTTTCATTTCTAAGGTATAAATATTTTCAAATATTTGAATATTTCTAATAGTTCTAAAAAAAACAAATTAAGGAGCAGTGCGAAACACCAAAATAAATAATGAAAATAAGGATTAAAAAACAAAATTAAAGTAAGAAATAAAATTAAAAATAAAATTAAAAATTTGCGGTAGGTAGTTTTTTCCAAAGGTTCGAAAATTCCTGGCAGGCAGAGCTTTCTAGAACGGACGCGAGTTGTGCATCACTGGCACAGCTTCCAATCTCTTCCAAATAATAACCCTCATCTCCTCGCGAAACTTTTTATTTTTGTCTCATAAAGATGCTTCTAAATCGAACTATGCAGCAATACGACAGGGAAAAATTATGAGACGGTAAATTTGCGAAAAAAATTTGCTAAAATACAAATTCAACCTGTTCCTTGATGTTTTTGTTGATTCTTATTCGAAATTTCCGCACTTCCTTGTCTTAAATTTTTCAGCAAATCTTTGCCTTTTTTTAAACCTTCTCGGAGTAACTGCGCACCCATGGCTTCTGATACACTTTCTGAAAACAAGTTTTTTTAAATACAATAACAATATCAAGATTTATAACCAAGCTGATTAACATTAACTCGCTGAAATTGACTGAATTCGCTCTTTTAATATTTGAATCAGCTGAGCAGGGGTTTCTCTGATTTCAATAGTTTCAGTGATTAATTGATAAAGCGATTTAATTAGCTACGAAAGTTGCTAAATCTTATGGATACATTCTGCGCTTCGGTATTTTTGACAACTATAATAATTTTTGATTATGAGAAAAATTTTGAAACTTACTGCCAACGCCAATTTTCTCTCCATATTCGCCAATTTTTGTAAGTATCATTTCTAAAAATTTTTTCATTAATTCGATTTTTCTAAGAAGCTGTCGAACTGTGAGAATATTGAGAAGGCATATAACTTAGGTTTTCATTCCAGAATTGCCTCATTCCAGAATTTTACTTGGATCCTTTAAGATCGTTTAGTAACATACAGCAACATGTCGCATGTATATGAAATGTTTATAAAATAGGAAAGTTATCTCGTGTCTAGCGAAATCTAGCGAAATGCAAATCCTCCGGTTAGATTACCATTAACTACCGTCGAAGAAATTCCCTACTGATCTGACAAAACAATTCAATGAATATTTCTCGAAGTCAGTAATTAGATCAACTTTCAACTATCAACTTTCTTTATACTGGAAGGAAGTGTACCTTAAAAAAAGAGCAAATAAGAGCAGAACAAAAGAGCAAGAGCAAAAAATTTTAAATTTGCTAAAAATTGGCGAATTTATTTTTGTTTAACCATTTTGTGAAGTATAAAGCCAAGTCTTCAGTAAAAATTCTAAGTAAACAAGACAAGAGAAATAAAATTAAGATATTCTACCCTACTTTCGAATTGGAATTGGAAGTATGAAATCAAAACGCCTTATTTAGACAGTGAGATTTATCAATCACACTGGAACGTCAAATTTAAAATGTTTCTTTGGTTGAAACTTTCATATAACGGAGACAAATGGTTCTTACTCATATTGCCATCATGAGTTAGAACTTCGGATCCTATCTCCGACAGAAATCAATCTGCCAGAATTCGAGTAATGTTGAATGTGATTCTAACACGGAATGATTCTCTCGCTGAAATTATTGACCGCATGTATCGGAATTCTACCAGAAATAGTAATCATTTACATCATAATTGGTTTGCTATTATATAACAATAACTGAAATTAAAATGAAACCTTTGTTTGCTTGAATTTGGCTGTCAACCAAATCAATTCCTTTATAAAGTGCCTGGTCTACAACATTCTGAGGTGGTGGTTCCGTTGTTGCTGCAATCACAGTTATATAATATTTACACTACTTATACTAACTACCATGCTTGTAAAAATTTACATATACATAAATATAAAAGTATATATACAAAAATCCCTTTCGCACACCTTGTGATTAGTATGGGTCACCCTCAACCTCTGAATTTTTCCCGAGGCTTGGAAACTTGAGGTTTCTGTGCAGTACTTCAGCTATTTCTAGCAGTGGACAGAAATCTCTAATTTTTCCCTGAAATTTGCAAAGTCACTTTTGTAGTTTATGGGTCATCTCCCAGTTCTCATTATTCCAGCCTTCATACCTTCTCTAATTGCTGTTTCAGCCTCTTTTATTTCTCTACTTTTCATATTCCTTCTTTCTAATGTTCCTGTCACTTGGCACTGCCTATCCATTACCAGTGTTGATTTTTTATCTACTACAATTTTATCTACGATATTTGGTTGAATGGAAAGTATTTGGATGTAGAAATCCCATAGCACTTTTCTCCATGATTTTATGGAGTTAAGCCTTATATTGAGTAGATGTGTAGATAAAGCCAGCTATTTGGTTATGCCCTTCAGTGTATGTTATTCCTGTTTGCACTGTACATTTTGCTACTTATATGCATAAATATAAAATATTGAAATTCTGGAAAACTTTTTTATTGGAAACTGTCGCAATAATCCTAATCCTTTTTCTGATTTCTCTTTCGCTTTTTTCGACCTGGCCTGTGCATTTTTGAATTTGAATTTAATAAGACCATTTTTGCATTTTAATACAGAGACTACTCTGCAATAGCGGTTCGACAGGAAAATTATCTCTCTGCGGACTATCTCGTGATAAAACGAAGAAAATAAGTTGTCGGATGCCCATTTAAAAAGGAAAGGAAACAGCTAAGTGATCTAACATAACACTTGTGGTAATCTTGATAAGGGTTAAATGTCGGAAAACGTCGAAAATTTTTGAATTAAGTGAAAAAAGAATAATTGAGTAAAAGCAATAATAATTAGATGTAACATAAATTTACGAACTTGTTTTAACAGCATCTTTTACAATTCGTCCCAATTCACTGAGAATCTGAAAATTATTATGAAAAGAATTTCAATAAAATTACAAATTTCTCATCTGTGTTTTAGAAAATATGAAAATCTCAAAAAATAACCAAGGAAACACTTTAAAATAAGTTTGAGCGTGGATTTTATAAAATTTAAAGAGTTTCATACCGATTTACCCACTATTGATACAGAATAGAAGACAGCTACTGCAAGCAAAAGAATGGTAAACTTCATAATCCTCTACGAATGATTTTTTCTAGAATTCAAATTTTCTCTGAAGAAATTTTCTATTAATAGTTTTTTTAATGGCAATAATGGATGAATGGCAATAATAATCATGAGTAGGAATACTAATAAAATAATACAAATAACAATAAAAATAATAATAATGAGTACCGTGAAGTAATAGAATGGTACACATCCATCCTATTTTATTCACTGGATGTACTGTACTGTTACTGTACTGTTGGTTGTTTAATATATGAAAGCTTAGCATGCTATTTTTTCATTTTATCATACTATTTCATCATCAATAACTTTTTCTTCATTGCAAATTTTTTCAAAATTTATCATATCATAATCAGTCTTAACTCATCTACGTATTCTTTCAAAATTTATAAAATTTAATTTATAAAATTTATTTAATAAAATTTATTAAATTTATTACATACCAATCAATAATCTTCAGATTAGCAAAAACTTCTGAATCGCTGATCAGTGCCAAACTATGAATGATCGTAAAACTTATTATATAAAAATTTGGTTCTATGTTGTTCACTAAGGAGCATTATGGGACCAGTAGATGGCTCCAAAGCATGTATCATCTCGTTATTAATACTGGTTAACTCGAAAAAAAAGATTGTTGCAAAATTATCCGATCTTGAATGACTGCAACCGACTGAATCTGATAATAGCTACCTATCAATTCTCCGATGAAATGTCCATGAATTCGATAGCTATTATCCATAATACAGACGAAAAAATGATGAAACGATTTTTTCTAAATAGATGAACTAATACTATCTTCAAAGATCATTCTTAAAATGTTAATAAGTGATAGGGACAAAAATTTTAAATTGCGCATTTTCTTCTAATTCGAAACTAATAAATTTAAAGTTGGCTTCCAAAAGCAAAAATAGTTCAATATCCCATTCCGGTGAAAAATTCTTGAACTAAAGTACCAAAGAATTCTTAGTTCTAGCTATAAGTATAAAAAACGAACACACGAATATACCTGCGATGCTCATCTTGGTCTAATAGCAATCAACATTTTTAGTTTGGCTAACTCTACGGATAAAGCCCTTTCATTCTTTCATCAAGAAGGATGGAAATATAGATAAGCCTAAGACGGATTTCTTTTTTAACTGAAGATTTACTCCCTCAAAGGACGAAAAATCTAATGGATTGGCTTTGACTGAAGCAATATACCACTCGATTAATCGCTATCTTAAGGTAGTAAAAAGAAACATTAGTCTAGAAAGCTTCAGTCGTATTATCAGTAAACATCAATATAACTAACTTATAAACGCAAATCTACTGAAATGATTGAAACAGTTGTTTTGATTGAGCATAATCAATAGATAACATGTTTCTCTCACTTTGTTCATAAAACTTCGTAAGAAATCAGAACCAAACATATTTTCACACACAATTTCACCACTTCAAAATCAACCTTTCCTACCAAAAATCTCACCTTCCTATTTTTCAACCAAAAACCCATCAAATTTGGAGCAAATTTAAGGTCTATTGAAGATGGGAAGGGAAAAAATGGATTTGAATGGGCAAAAATTAAAATTAAAACCATAATCAACATCATAATCTAAAGTCTAAATCATGTTTTCGTCGGAAAAAACTGTTAAAAATTTCATTTATTTTACACACCTAAAAAATTTTGAAATGTGGGATTCGCCCATGCGTTTATTGTTTACTTCGATCCCTTAAATTAAGGGTGCCACTCGACGTGTCGCAACCATTTCTCCATCTTTTGAAGAATCGTTTATGGTCCTTTCATACAAACGAATAAATATCTTGATCACTAATTAAATTGTCAATTAACTCAAAGCATGCGAAGAGAATGGTTTTCATATAGTTCATTGAAAATAAAATTGGAAATTTTATATAGTAAATACAATGAAAGCCAACAGTTAAGCAATAAATATTATATAAACTATAAAATAAATAATTGAAAGAACTCAAAGAACAAGGGAACCAAAAAACTAACAATGTAAAAAAATAAAAATACGTAACAAATTGTAACAGAATGTAGAGATTAAATTAACATTAACATTAAGAGATTTTAACCATTGTAACAAAATATAGATTAATGCAATATATAACATGATAAAAAAAAAATAAATTACTTCAAACGCTTGTACAGATCAGATTCGAAAGAAATTTTTCAAAGCCTTAAGGATTTGTTTTTAGAAAAATAAAGTTACAACAAACAATTGAAAATATTCAAATTATATGGCATCATCGGACAAATAACTTTCACCATTATCAAAGTAAGAATAAGTATAGTCATTATCATCATCACCTTCTTCATCTGACGGCATACCCTCTTCATTTTCATCATATTTCTGCAAAAATATCGAAATATCGAAATTACGTGAATGATTATCGGCTAATTTCGTTGAAAAAAAATTATTGAAATCGGAAAGAATAAATATTTCTTCGAGTAAAGAACTAGTATATAGCATTCTCCACCAAAAATTTTGATCCATATCTAATCGCTGAAAAGGTAAATATATAAAAAATGAAAATGTAGTGGAAAAAACCACTTCTTTACTATCTTTATCGGCATCATCTTCACTTTCATCATCGCTACTTCCTTCATCGAAATCATCAATTTTATCCAAATTTGCCAATACTTCATTTGTTCCTTCGTCGATCATTTTCACTCTTTTTTTTGGTGGTTTTTCAGACAAATTCTTTTTTTCCCAACGAAGTTCACTGGGGAGTCTTGACCAATCTAAAAATAATTTCAAATTTTTTTTCAAATATCTAAATGCTGAACACTGAATACAATAGAACAGAGGCGATAAAAACCCATATTTGGTTTCTAATTTTTTATGATTCTATATGACTATTTGATTCTCGATTTTTCTTGTCTTTTAAAACCTTTTAATTTATATAATAGCATCCTTTTTTTTAGTAGTTCCATCCTTTTGACAAAATATATCAGCTTTCCTTAAAATTTAAAATATGCCAGAACATTCTTAAAAGCAACGATGTCAACCACTTACCAGGTTTGAATTTTTCTATAGCAATTTTTCGATATTTATCAGTATAACGCCGTATGTCCCCGACTTTGTCATTTTTCCTTTCCAAATAAAATGATGATTCGCGAAATCTTGTCGCCAATTCTAATTTTAAATCTATTTCATATTGAACTGAATCGAATATCTCGAGTGGTATCAGTGTTTTTGATAAAGGCTAGAATCACAAAATTGTTAGCAACTCGTACAGCAACGATGATTGCTAATTTATGGAAAAATGATCACTAACTGGAAAAGTCTGCGGAACTTCATGAACTGATGCCGACATGCTGTTTAAGTCATTTCGAGAAATACCTAAAGCATTCGCAACTGCATTTAATCCCGTTCTTGTTGATCCACGTCCACTGTTCCTACGTGCCATTATTCACGATCTGTGGAAAAGAAATATTATTTTAAAAAAGTATTAAAACGGAATACTACACATTGCTTCCATTAATTTAATCCCATCAAAATATTTCTAAAAAAGATTTCCCAATTCCTACCATTCTTTTCAAATCAACGACAGGGAAAATAAATCGTGGAATAAACAATAGAAAAACACATTCTTTGAATTCTTATTATCAGATATCTCATATATATTTATTTATTTTAATATTTTTTATACAAATGCAATGATATTATCAACAAATATTTCAAACTCTCACCACCTGCAACTATTCATACATTTTTTCACGACAAAAAATAACTTCAAAAGCGAAAGAGAAATAAAAAATGGCAATCAACTACAACTTAATTTAAAAAGAAAAGAAAAAAGAGGATAAAAAAGTCAAGCTTTCAGTCGAAGCTTAGTGAATTCTCCTAAAAATTTCTTCAGTGATGAAACAGCCATTAAAGAAAATTTTGAAATTTCTTATCAAATTTCGATTTGATAAAAAAAAATATACCAAAAAGAACCGTTAATTAAACATATATAATATGGACCCTCAAGATTTATAATGAAATCTGCAAATTTCTCAGCTAAATATACGATTCTGTTCATATCTCAAAGCTATTTTATTTGCTGCACCATCTTCTATTAATTCGCATATAAAAATTCGATCAACTTGACCGTTACCACAAAAATTGTATCCCACGAAAAAAAATTTTTTTACGAAAACAAAAAAATTGGAAACGATGCACAATGTGAGAAAAGAAATGAATTATTAACGAAATTATTAATGAACTAATTCGATACACTGGTGGGACTATCTGTAACAGGTGCTTCATTCTTCGATTTGTTCCACGATTCAAGCCCCTTAGGTAAAGATGTATCCTCATCCAAACCACCAGTGCCTTCGACAAATTCTTCGTAGGTATGTTTCTCAGCGAATGGCCGTTTTCCCAATATTTCGACCAAATCTTCACGTGCAAGAATTTCTTTTTCGAGCAGCCTCTGTGCAACCTACGATGAAAATATATACGATAAAATATTGATAATAATATATAATATCTGATAATCATATAAATTCGAACACAATCAATCAAACAACAAATTCGAATTCAAACCTTTTCAATTTCTGTTTGTTTTGATAGTAATAATTCTCTAGTACGCGTTAGGGCAAAGTTAACCAAATCTCTTACCTAAAATCAGCATTATTTTAAAAATTTATGTAAACAATATTAGAATTTCTGATGGTAAAATATAGCATAAGGGTTAACTTCTTGATCTATTAATTGGGCTGTTGCTTCCGAATAAGGTTTGTCAAATACAAGTTCGCCAGGTGCAGCCGAATCAAATGAAAGAGGACCAACTTTCGAACTCATGCCAAATTTAACAATCTAAATAAAAAATAACCACTTATCAAAAAAGTAATAGTAACAATAAATAATACTGAAAAGACACAAAAATCATGCGAAATTTAAAAAACCTGAGAATATGCCATCTGCGTGATTTTCTGCAGATCATCTTGTGCACCAGTAGTAATACGCCCAAAGAAAATTTCTTCTGATACACGACCACCCAAAGTTACACACATACGATCAAGAAGTTGTTCTTTTGAATATAAGAATTGTTCTTTTGGCAAGTATTGAGCATAGCCTAAACCCTTCCCTCGGGGTATAATAGAAACCTGCAAACTTCAAATCACGTAAAAATGTCAAAAAACCTCTGCATGAAAATCACTTTGCATTGTAATAATGAGAATAATTATTGAAATTTAATTTTAACCTTCAACAGCGGATCTGCATTTTCCAAAAACCATCCAGCTATAGCATGACCAGCTTCATGATATGCTACAGTTCTTTTTTCATCGGGTTGCAAAACCTGGCTTTTTTTTTCCATACCTGCTATAACTCGTTCAATAGCCTAAAAGACAATTTTATATATTGTAAATATATATATGTACCAAATACTAAGATTTCAATAAAGAATTAAACCACAAAGAAATTTTAGTTGAGTAAGTGAAATATATAGAAACAACCTTAAAAGGCCTACCCTTTCAAAATCTTTGAGAGTAATTTCACTTCCAGCATCACGAGCCGCGATCAGTGCCGCTTCATTACAAACATTGGCGATATCTGCACCTACAAATAAAAATGCTATAACAATAAAAATGCTAAAAAACTTAAAATTTCCATAATAAATTCAAAAAATTCCATTATTAGAATCAAATTTTCAGATAGGTTTATATTTATATTTGGAAATTCGTTAATTCAGAATATGAAGATAATTTAACATAAGTAAAAAAAAATTAAATACCTGAAAATCCAGGCGTTAACGCTGATAACTTCCTAGACAGTTCAGATTTATCAAGGCACGTTTTCAGTGGAGCGAGGTGAACTCGAAATATAGATGCCCTAAAAAATTCATTAAAAAATTTGTAAAAATTTAATTTAAACAAAAATACTAGCCTAATCTCCGATTTCTCCGAAAAACATAGAACCATAGGATTGAAGAAATTCTATTACCTTCCTTTAATGTCAGGAACAGGAACATAAATTTGTCGGTCAAAGCGACCAGGTCGTAAAAGAGCTGTATCGAGTATGTCAACCCTATTAGTTGCAGCAACAACAATAACTGATGACTCATCTGTTGTGAATCCTGAACAGATAGTTATCTTGAATGCATATTATGATCTAAACATCCATTATGATCACTGTAGCACACATTTATTTTATTACGCGCCCAAAATTACACAAACTTAATCTCAAAAATCCTATCGATTAATTTAGTGATAATTTAAGAACAAACAGCAAAAATAAGTGCAGATATAAAAATTAAAAAATGAATGGAATCACCATCCATTTCCACTAAAAGTTGATTTAATGTATTTTCCTGTTCTGAATGACCGCTAGCTCCTTTCAAACCTCGTTTTCTTCCAACAGCATCGATTTCATCTAAAAAAGAAATAGAAATAAATAAAAAATATGACTGAAATGGAAACTATTACGGCGAAAATAACAAATACCAATGAAAAGAATGCATGGTGAATTCTTTCTTGCCATTGCGAACATATCTCTAACACGAGCTGGACCTACACCAACAAACATTTCTAAAAATTCCGAACCACTCACAGTGATGAATGGAACATTTGCTTCACCTGCTGTTGCTTTTGCTAGCAAAGTTTTACCAGTACCAGGCGGTCCCGTCAACAAGGCCCCCTAAAAAAAATTTTTTTAAATTTCTTGAAATCAATTTCTAAAAAAACTTAAATCGGAAAAAAATTACCTTTGAAATCAAATTTACAACACAATTTATCAACGATATCAACAAAATTACCAACTTGAAAAGGGCAACATAATTTAAGTATAATTGGCATAATTAAAAGTTTGGCGTTAGAATTTATGTGTAAATTTCCATAAGTCACTTAAAACTGAACAAATTTTGCATTACCTTTGGGATCTTCGCCCCTAATGCCTTATACTGGCCCGGATTTTTCAAAAAATTAACAAATTCCATGATTTCAATTTTCGCTTCTTCACATCCTGCCACGTCTTTGAATGAAACTTTTATATCTTCCTTATTAATCAAGCGTGCAGTACTTTGCCCGAATCCACCAAAAATACCTCCAAAGCCACCACCTCCACCTCCTCGTCTTGACATGCCTTAAAAGATCCTCACGCTCTATAAATTCTGTCATTTCCTGCATTAAATAAATAAATTTAAAATAAAGAAAAAAATTTATTCAGAAATAAAAGACAATAATATGTAGTATATGAAGAGTTCACCTGACCCGCCAACACCTCGAGCCTTGAACACTGAATATAAAAATGGGCCAAAGATCAGAACAGGTATAAGAAACTGAATAATATTCGGCAACTGATGCCAACTAAAAGTATAAACTAAAAAAAAAAAATGATTATAACCCTCATATACAATTTACTGTGTTTCTTTCCATACTCCTATAATATATTTTTCACTTGACACAATCATAACAACACGGTGGAAATTTAATACAATAATTTATTCATTTATTTAATAAAATAGACAAGTTTTTGAGAAAATTAAACTCACAATTCAAACTCATTTTTGTAAAACACAGGAACATGGTTCTCAATGTCGATTCCTAAATGATGCTGAGCCGCAGTTATTGAACGTTCAAAACTGTCCACGCTTCCAATATTAAAATAATATATTGTACCCTATAAATTACCCTATAAATTAACAAATAGCAATAAAATAGAAAGAAAAAAAAATGAATCTTCTTTTGAAAAATGAATCTTTAAGATGGCATATTAGTTGAAATATTTGACGAATAAAATTCAAGAAATCACCGAAGTCGAGTACTGTGTAGGTATTATGCGTACCCACCGATTGTTCACCACTTCCAAACGCTCGACCTATAAAAAAACCGAAAAATTTAAAATGAGGCAGTTAGAGTTGCATTACAGGATCCTGAATAATTTGAAAAACATACATTTCCTTTCTCAAGAAAATCTGAGTAAAATTTTTTCCACGATACTTCTTCATAACTATTTGACAAATATAATGCAAGCAAAAAGCCAACAGTGGCAACGAATACAAAACCTTTATCTTTATCTGACATTTTGAAATCCCTGAAAAAGAGAACTTTTTCAAGAAATGCAGAGAAGCAATTTTCAAAATATTCCATGAATACTGATAAACTCTACGTATTCGTATCGTTATATCTAAATTTATTTCGAGAGTATCATTTAAAATGGGTCTGTGATTCTACCTAAAAGAAGTCAGTTGCCTAATATAAAGCAACTGATAAATAATTTTACATCATCAGCACACAAGTTCGCAATAGGAAAATGCTTCATATATAAATTTTCTAAAAACATTTAAAAACATTTTAGAGCAAATTTACCAGTCAAATGAACCACTGCTGCCTGAAGAATCAGGATTTGTGGGTTGGTCAATTCGTTTTTTTGTTGATTCCAGTGCTTCCTTTCTCTTCTTTTGATTCAAATTTTCAAATTCACTTTTACTATTTTTATCACTTTCCAATTCTCCTGAAAAAAAATTATTAAAAATTAAAATCTTCCTCGCAACATTTACCCAAAATGCCAAAAGATGAAATTTAAAATTTCATAAAGATGTATAAAAAGCACCTTCGATCTCTTCCATGTCTTTTTTGATCTTCTCAAAAGTTTTTTTCAATTTTTCTCGCATAAATTTTTCAAATCCTTTTGGCATGTTATATAATGATGAAATTTTGAATACCATATTCCTATCCATATTAATATTTAGTAATTTAGTGAGATCATCATTCGTAAACATAGTATCCTGGAAACAAAACAAATGATATAATTGGAGTACTTATGGAAAAATTTTCTGTGCAATAAAACCATCTTTGATGATGAATACTTGGTGATGCATGCTTCTGGGATCATACTTAACGCTTAAATTAAGAGAAGATTAAGAGAACAAGTGAAAAGTTAAGTAAAAATGCTTAAATGATTATGATAAAAACAAGCTTAAGAAGGTCGATAGTCTCAACAAACACGGACTGAGATAAACCTGTCATTCAAAATCTAAGTGGTGATAGGCTCCATTCCAAAGTCAAGCCCTCGCGAAAGTTCTCAAAAATCAGTAGAACCCGCCAAAATAGAAATTGTAGAAAAAGTAAATTAATAAATTAAATTAATTAATTTTGCCTTAATTTTGCCTTAATTCGTAGAATATATTTAAGACGAACCATTCATATATAAAGCAAAATGAAATGAAAATTTAAGTTTAAAAGAATATAAAAATTATTTTAGGCAAAAAACAACCAAATTAAGAATGGAGGATTAGGTCGAAATAAAAAATTGAATTCACAAATGAGACACATCGAAATGTTTCACATTATTCAAATAAGAAACACTACTCGGAAACTGAGAAATCATAAGACAATAGCAATTATATAAGAGAAATAGAAGGTAACAAAATAGAAAAAATAATAAAAGTGAAGTGAAAAAAGTTTTGTCAAAAAAATTTGCTGTGATGTAATATTTAAACCATGCTTAAACTAACAATCTAATATATCAGTGAAAATGAGTAAAATATAGATAATTCCCTTATTTTATATTATTCTCGTGAGTGATCGTGATAAACATTTCTCCTAATTATATCTATTTTACGTTTTTTAAATTAATTCTTTATTAAACATATTGTTCTTACCTAAAAGGAAAATATTTCTGTCCACTTTATATTGGGCAAAAAGAGAACACTTAAGACGAATTTTATTTAGAATGGCTTCAAAAAAACGTCGTAGATAATAGTGCAGCAACATATGTACTCAAGTGTTAGAAAAAGGAGTGACTCCTATTACTGTCGACAATTGTATCGGATCGCGAAGCTTGGAAACATCTTACCCTTGTAGAAAGTGAAGCTAGCCTAACCAGTAATGATGAGAGCTGTTCGAAAAAGAAGAATGGCGTCGCGTCGCATCGACTGAAGATATAAATTCTTCCTATGCAATTATAGAGAAACTGAGATCATGGTTGACCCAAGGTTACTGAAAAATATTCCTGAAAGACAACTAGCTTCAATTACCAAAGAATATGAAAAGCAACAAATTTAGCTTCTAATAAGATCCATCAAATCACTCAGTGGAGAATTTAAAAATGAAATCTGAAGACGACTGACAACCTTCAATTCCTACAGTTATTCCTTCGAAAGCTTAACGGAATAATTGATGGAAACTGTTGAAAAATATTTTGAAAAAAAAGAAGCCATGTTTAGATGACATATACCAGCAAAATTTACCGATAAATTTTTTAATAACACCACACTCTCTAAAGAAATATATAGAGAACTTCTATAATAGGTACACATTAACCAAACTGCCACGTGACCACTTTGCGTATAAAGAATACTTAAAAAATTTCGTAATATTCATATTTTTCAAACAAAAAAGAACAGCAACTTTTAAATATCAACAGAAGTTCTTTTCTGAACTGAATTTTAAAATTGCATGCCCACGAAAATATTTTTTTGCAAATCTGCAATATAATTATGTGATCATTCTGATATTGATTACAACTGTAATTAATAAATATTATAACTAAATATATTTACAAATGTACTAAATAAATATAGTATATTTGTGGACGATAGAAATCGAAACTATGCCGAAATCGAATCGAAACTACTGTGGTTCCCTAAATAATATTTAGTATTTATGAAATATAAGTATTATCGATGCTTTGAACAAATTTAAACCATCCACATCAGCTGGTCCAGTTATTTCACAAATATTTTTATAAAAAATGTGCGCTCTCTTAAAATCTTATATCTCTAATTTATAATGTGGTTTAAATCCAAGGATCTAGAAATTATACCCATTATATAATGCCCATATACCCATACCCATTACATAATATCATTCATAAGAAAAAAACATCTATGTAAAAACATTAGAATGGCTTCAGCACTCAAAAATCCACTATTTCACATATGATACACAATCTTTTTGATTAGTCAAAATCAGCTGGTAGCATAACAAATAAATATTAAGTAATCAATCTAATAGTATAAAACAATCTATTTATATTTGGTCAAAGGATTTCTCAATATCCTCGATATCCGATAAGATTTCTCAAATAAGTCACCATTAAAAGATATGATATTATGGATGGCTTATGTAACTGGATATTAGATTATTAAAAGGACCCATACCAAGTTGTACGTAACTCTCTCTCAATAACTCTCTTTCAAATATGGCTGCGGTTCAATCAGGTAATATCTGACCATTATATTTTTTATTACCTATTAATGATAAATCATCAAAACTGAATTATTCTACAATCTCTCTCTATGTTGATTATTAAATTTACTATTCACATGCTAGATCGAATAACCCATTTTCCAATTCGCAACAAGGTGACCTCAACAGAATTGCCAATTGGTTATGTGACGGGTAAATTATCCTTTTCATTCGAAAATTTAATGTATTACAATGCAAACTATAAAGAATTCAAAAAAAAAAAACTTTCTTTTTATTAATGGCAATAGGTAATAGGATAGAATATCTCAGACAGTTGTGGACAAAAACCTTGATTTTGACCGTTACAGAACCATAGTAAAGAAATTTCCAAAAATATTAAATTTATTTTTCGGCCATTTAAAAATGAAAAATTTCTTATCGAAGTATGTAAAGTTCGGTGAGCTCCAATCTTTTCTTAAACACCTAAAAGCTAAGTAAATTAAATGAAGAATCCAGAAATATTTGTCGACGCCCTCCTAATAGCAATCTTAACTATAAAACAAAACTTTAATTAAACAACTAATTTAGATTCCCATCTAGTTCGAAGAATCAAAGAATCAAATATAAGAAATTTTTAATACGTAAAAAAATTTTTAAGGTTGTGTCAAATCTGAGTATTTCAAATATAATTTAAGGTTAAATTTGAATCTAACAAAATATAAATATAAAATTTAGCCAAGAACTTATGACTTTCATTTACCATTAACTGTTGGAACAAGAGTGGTCAAAGGATAATGTTTGACCACTCTTGTCTAAAGTATATTTTATGGGTCTGTGGAACGGATAAAATATCATATGATATCATATCGTATCCACCTTCGTTCAAACACCACCTGTATTAATAATGTTATTACAAAGCGTCATCTTCGGTGATTAAGGCATATTCTCCGTCATCCACCACAAGAGTTTTCTCATATTTCGTTATCTGCTAAACCGTGTGATAGATGGTATCAAAAGCGAAGTGGGCCAATTAATACCTGGATTGATACTGTCAGGAAAAATTTTGAACGTATAGATGGATCAGTACATGGACTTAGACGATGGAAAAAGGAATGGCTTCTATTACTGTCGACGATGGCATAGATCGCGCCGCTTGGAAGCGTCTTACCCTTGTAGCCGTTGGAACCAACCTAACCAGTAATGGTGACAGTTGTTAAAAAAAGAACTGCTGGAACAAACTGTTGGAACTGCCGAAAGATGTAGCATGTACATCATCTTTAGCTACTTTTAAAGAATGATTATCCATTATTTAAAAGCTCCACAGTTAAGCAAGTGGTTTGAAATTTTGATCTTTCAGCATGCGATTACGTGCCAGTAAAACATATGATTTGTATAATTCTGTAATTTTCATTTACATTGTTAGCTTTTGGTCAATTTATTTTCTTTGTACTTTATATCGATAATAATAATTTCCTTTTCTTTGGCATCCTATTTTGTTATCAATGCAAGAATGTCATCTTGCTTGGCTGTTTTCAAATAAATCCGTAAAATTATTCCAAGCTTAAATATTAACACACATCTTACGAACAAATACAACAGCTCGAACATATATTGTCACCGGTTTAAATAAAATAAAAAAAACAAACCCCTTTGAACTGTGGAATATAAAAGCATTTATATCGTCCTATAGTTCGATTAATGTGATAAAATGTTCTAAAAAATTTCTGGTTGATACGAATCATCTAAAATCAAATGAAATTATATACCAAAAATAATTTTTGTTTTATAATGAATTACAGGTTCCATCAAATAACTTCGTAATTTAAAAAATTACACCGAAAGACCATAAAACTTCCAAAGCATTGCTAAATATAAATATATATATATATCAGAAGAACTTTATGTGGAGCTTCAGTGGCATTATTCAGAGCCTTCTGATATAAATTTATAGAAACAATATAATTCTTTGATGAATTTTCTTTCATTAACTTACATTTAAATATGACAGGGCAAGTCAATTACTGGAAAAAATGGGGCATTTAATTCTTAACGATTTTCTGAGGGATTCTTTTGGTGTTTCGATTATACTATGCTATTTTTCAAAGGAGCACGATGAAAAAGCAGCCACACTCTCGTAATATATTTATTATACACTTACTCGGATCCTTCATACGTAATTGTATCTTATCTTTTCCTTATCTACGATTTTTTTATCTATGAAATTTTATATATATGCTTCAAAATGAACGCTTAAGTTCCAACCGCCAAAAACGTTCTCTGCCCTTTCAGCCTATTTTTGCTAATTTCGAAATCACCTGTACGGAAAATATGAAAGTGTATGTAAATAATGTAAAAATATTTGCATATATAAAGCGAGCTGCGAAAACTGAGAAATGCGACAAACCTATGAAAAATATTCTGATAATCTTTTACTAATCCTTCAAAGTTCATAATAAATAGACTTGAAATAGACTGTTGATAAAAGGCAAGCATTTTGAAATGAAAAATTTAACCAAATAATTATGTGATTCTTTGGCAAATATCACTTCAGCCGTCAAATCAACCAGCCAAAGCGCCGCCTATTAGAAAATGAATCAACCGCCGATGAGGCATAAATGCGAAGAACAAATATACATAAGAAAAAACTTACATTCTCGGTGATGTGGAACTTTATTAATTTGAATGTTTGCAAATGAAGAGGAAAATTTAGTTGAACATCGAGAGAAAATTGAGACAATGGCAGAAATAAAATTTCTAGTTCCTTTAATTCCTTCAAAAACTCTTATACATTCCTCAACCTCCTCCCCTTTTCCCCATAAACATTCAAAATTCGCCAAGCACTTCAAATGAGATCGACAATGATGAAAATATGCTTTTCAAATACAATAGAATCCGATCCGAGAATTAGAAATTGAGATTGCTAATAAGCAGTTTCTTCGTTAAATATCAATTACATTTCCTTTTTACGAGAAGCACTTAAAAGAGTATGGCGATGGGTAGGAATAGAGAACAAAAAGAAAAGAATTGTTGTTGAAAAAGTAGCTCAAGAAGGATCGCTGGGACAAAAAATAAGCAACATCAAGAAGAAGCAGTTTCTAATACCGTCGACCAAACAAATGTAATGAAGACGGATAGAGATATGTGAAAAGCGGTAAAGGTATATTTCGAAAATAAAGTGGTACTTGCTGGTGTATAATTTATAGTCATGGTGTGAGGCAGCGATGTTCGCATGCTCTTTCTTGTTTGCATTTCCTTTCAGTCTCTACCGATAATATTAATCCTATGAATATTCTCTCACTCTTCTAGAACTATACGAGTGCAGCGACCATACGGACGAGGCTTTTTTGCTAGAGAGTCGATAGAAGTATAGCCGGATCCACGAAGCGAAGCATTTAACTTCGGTGCCAGATTTGCCAGATTTCGCCTAGAAATAAGAAGCGAAATTTTGAAAGTTGGAGGGAAATACCCACAGAACCAGGTTAGTTTCTTGTGAAAAGTCGAAATATAAGCAAAATGATATTCCGAAACCGGAAAGAATCGGAAGAACCACTTACTAAATTTCAAAAATATTACATAAAATTCACTTTTCATCTAACAAAAAAACATTTCAAAAAATAATATCACAATAACGAATATAAATTTGTAGCCGAGTATTAGTTTAACGCTAAAATGCAGCTTGGAATAGATAGCAATTTTGAGATTACAGTGAAATATCTAAAACGGCATGTCTGGAAATTTTCTCGACAGAGCGCATCCGTTAGTCAGTTACAGATCGAGTGAGTCACTGCCAGGTATTCCTTTTCTGAAATACACACCATTTCCGGTTGGCCTCGTTCCGCTGGTTTATCGCATCAGAGAAATTCCGGTAGCGAGTCATTTGGAGATGCAGTCATCTGAATCGCCCGGGATCCCTTCATCAGTGTTCCAAAATGAGAATTACAACCATTGAGTTTTTCTACCTTGTATCTTCTATTTATTCATTAAAATTATTAAAGACTTAGAAGCAATTTTTTTTGTTTAGCTTAGTTTTCTAATGATTTCTGAGCAAATTGGCCGGCAGTTCTGCCTGTGATGCCCACAGGAACCACCGCTTATTTTCTCGTCTTTATCAGCTGTTTTAGCTGAGCCTTCATCATTGAATCGGTTTTATGTATAGTAATTTGCCAATTTATTATCGTCTCTCAATTGCTGGTTAGTATAAACTGCTTGCACGGCGCTATGACGTTTGTTCGCGACAAGTGTTCAGCTAGCAACCATTGTCGCAATAAAGCCTTCAGCTTTTTGGCTTTAGGAAGAATTTTTTTCTTGAAAGCTAGTTAAATTTTTTGCCCGAAATTTATGTATAAAATTAACCAATTTAGGATCGAATCAGATGTCTCGTGCGCCAGAGTTGCTTCGGAACTTTCCAGAGTCAAATCACTTTCCATCACCCTCATTGGTGGATAATTTGATGCCTCATCTAACTGAACCTTTATGGATCGATCCTGATTCGACAACAACCAATTTAGCCTCGTCATTAAACTACCCGGATTCTTCTTCTGTTTCTTCTTCTTACGATTCGCTTGCCTTTGCTTGTATTAATTTAGCCGAGTGAGTCTACCTATTTTTTAATGTTTTAATATTAATGTTTTATTGATGATTTAAGAATTTCAAGCAGAATTTGCAACCTTAAAGAAATTATATTTTTTGGAGATTTGTGTTTATAACGCTATAGCGCTGAAAAAGAACCATTTGTTATCTATGGTAACTTATAATTAGAGGTTTACTTACTAATTGGTTCAGTTTTTACGCATTTTTCATAGGTTTGATTAATAGTTTTAGATGGATTAATTCATTTTAATTAATTGAATTAGCTGTTTGTGTAGTTGTATTGTACAGTCCATATTTTTTCTTAAAACTAACTTTTAGATTAAATTTTGCTTAAAAATTTTCTTAAAAAGGAAAATAATTAAGAATTTTATAAATTAATTTCATTTTTTTATCGTTTATTTTAATTTAATTACAGGCAAACAATATTATATATTATATAGGATGGAAAGTGCGTATTCGGTGGAATTTTTTATTTTGAAAAATTTTCAGTTTAATTACGAAATTGCTTATAACTCATCCTTGTACTGTACTTCGTCGCCAGTGTCAGGTTCACCAATTTGCGAGAAGTTTGCATGTTACGCCATTTACGCTTGTGCCTGTCGTTTGTAATATGGTTGCTGCTGAGGTTTGAAATTTTCCATATTATTCGCAGTTATTTATTTTATGCGGGCTAGTTTTTGTTTATTTTCATTTTCATTTATTTTTGCATTCTTTCTTCGATTTTTGCTTCGAATCTATTTTGTAAAAAAAGTATATTTACAGGGTTTATTGAGCTTATGGAAAGGAGCTTTGGGGTCCAATGTCCTTTGGGCCCTTTCTATTGTTTCTGAAATTCTTCTGGCTGATATTCTTGGATTGCCAAGGTGAATTGTCGTATTCTTTTAGCAGAAAATCTTTCATTTCCTTTAATTTTAAAGTACCTAAATTTATGGCATTTCTTAATTTATGTAAAATAAAAAGGTAAATGATTAGTGCTCTTTATTTTTGTTAGTACTGTTAAAAACTTTTGTCAGGGTATTTGACAATAGAAGTACAAATGGATCACTACCATCACTCCAATTAATAGGTTTATTGCTACTGAGAACAGGAGCCAAGTTTTTAACACCTTTCAACACGATAGTTTAAGCCCCTCTCTACTCATCTTTCTATCTTAATTTGTCTGTTTTATTTTCGAGGAATATCATAGTGTTTAACCTTATATTTTAACCTTTAATTCCGACATTATCATAAATAAAAGAACTTTTATCCTAAAAATTTTGCGCAGAAAAAAATTCTTTTTGGATAAAAATTTCATGAAAAATCTTTTATTTCTTCAGGAAGAGTTAATAGATAATTAATATATCACTATTTTTTAAATTTTTTGTAAATTTTATGGCTTATTTTGCTTATCTTCAATGGTATTAAGTGCTTATTGAAATTATTTTCCAGATCCTTCGTAAAACGTGGCAGTACTGAAAAATTTTGGAGACATATAGCATTGAAAGCGTACGTTTTTGGCTCATTCTTTTATCTTTTAAATAATTTTTGCGTTTTTCTAAAGGAATTTCTTTTTTTGCCTTCAAGTAATTTATTTTTTCTTTTCTTTTCATTTTTGATAATTTTACTTTAAAAGTAATTTAAAGGTTCTAACTTAGTTAGATTATAACAAAATGAAATCTAAAAAAAAACAAAGTATTAAATGGCTAAAAATATATTGGTATGGATGTATTATGTTTGATGCCAAATCTTTGATATTTTTATGGTTTACCTTATATCATCTTGAAGTTTTTTCTTCAGATGCACATTTTTTGCAATGACTCCATTCACTGTTTCATCATTCATTGAAACAGTTCGGGTTAGTTTTTTTGTTGATTTTCAGTTATCCACTTCATTTTATATTATATATATAATAGCTTCAAAAAACTTCAGGTTATTAGTTTATTATTTTCACTTTAAAAAATCACTTTAAAAAATTCCTTTTGGTTAAATGATTTTGAAAATAACATGGTATTTATTTTTAGAGCGAAACGGGGTTGGCTCTTGAAGATATAAAAGTTATGGATGTAATTACAAATGGAATAAATCGATTGCATTTTGATTTTTTTGGTCCACGAGATAATAGTAAACGCTTTGCTTTAATTTACCTAGCAATTCCCACAACAATTTATCAGACAACTCATTATCTTATTGCAGTCAATTTCTATGATTGGATATTTACTACGGCTCAACGATATGTGGTAATTTTTTTCCTCTGTTTATTTTTTTTCCTTTATTTAGGTCGAAACTAAATTATGAATCATATTCACTTCGGATAAGACTTTTCTTAGTAGTCTTTTTCTCTAGATGGTTTTTATTAATATTTCTATTTTTACTATTCTTTTATAGTTTTAAAAGTTCCGTTTGTTTTTTAGAATAAAAAGTCAGCATCGGAAAAGACAGTTTTTCATTCTTATTTGCCTCAATTTTTTGCGACAATGACATCTCAGGTTATGGCTGATTTGATTTCTTATCCTGTGGAAACAATTTTACATCGGTTATACATACAAGGTAACAAATTACATGTTATTGTAATGACCATATTTGACCATATTGTTATGACTCTGCTATCCAAAAATCTTTTACTTTTTTCATTTGATTTTGTTATGAATTTTTTAAATATTTGTTGTTTTAAATATTTGTTGTTTTATCTATTTATTCTTTTTTTCGAATTAATTTCTTCTAGGAACTCGTACGTTGATTGATAATCTTGACAATGGCGTTTCGGCTATATCGATAACAGCGAAATACACGGGTTTTTTCGATTGTTTAAGAAGTATATTACATCGTGAAGGCTTTATTACCTTTTATAGCGTTCGTTCTTTGCTTTTTTCATAAAACCTAGCGGAAAATTTTTTTAATGGAGACTTCATGAAAAAAAAAAGTGTTTTAAAAATTTCGGCTTGAATTTTTTAATGTTTTTCATTTTGGAAGTAAAAAATAACTTCGATAGTCAAAGATTATATATGATCACTGTCTTTTGTTTCAGGGAGTTGGTGCCTTGGCTTTGCAATATGCTTTACATTTTTGTTTCCTTAGATTAGTGCGGACTTTGTTCGAATATGCATCAGGTGCACTATCAAATATCAATCGTGGTTCCAGTAATGCGAGGCAGCGTTTGCCTTCATCTGGTTATGGTTTTGGAATTGAAGAAGATGGGTTCTCAAAGGAACCAATGGTGCCAGGAAAAATAGTCACGGGCATTCGTTCTTCACCGTAAGCTTACTCATTTTTGAAATACGGCTCCAGCATTTTTTATCATCCAGGGCTATTTTAATAAATTATTTAGTTACCCAACATTTGGACAAACGTCAGCAGCATTTGGTCGCAACTCTCCTCCTCGCATTGCTTCACCACCAACTGCTGGTTTTTTTGCTGAAAGAGCTCCTTTATTTTCATCAGTTGTCTATGATGGAAGCAATCATATATGATTAGTAAATATAAGGCATGTAATTGTGGTTATTATTCTGGTTATTAAAAAACGATTGGTGGTGATAATTTTTTTCTCTTGTTTTTTACAGTAGATTTTTTCTTAGTCTTTTTATTACTTTATTTATTTTCTTTATTTTTTTTTCAATTAACAGAAATGAGCTCTGTTTTTTATTAGAAAAATTTTAACAAGGCGAAAATAATTTCTTTGGTTTACTTTATTAATTATGTAAAAAGAGAGTATAAGTTATTACTTTTTTCATCGGTTATAGTGGTTATTATTAGCAGGGAATCATTGAATTGTATTGTTTGCATTTTGATTGCATTTTATTTCTATTACTTTTAAAATTGTATAAGAATAATAGTTAGATCGTGAATAATCTTTAATATAAACCTTTTATTGTTTGTTGAGAAACAAATTGAATAATCCAATCTGTTGCCTAGCATCAGGCCTGCAAATTAATTATGGCTTGTGTTATTTTCATATTTCTAAAACCATATACCATATTTAAATAATAATTATAATAATTAAAATTTCTTTATCCGATGTCATGTCTCTTTCATTTACTAAATATTTTAAATATTCTTACGCACGTTAGATTTTTACTATTCTTTTAAAATAAAATTGATTGTATATTAAATTTGGTTTTAAATTTCTCTTCTAGAAGCATTTCATGTCCTATGGGAAAATAATTTTTGAATATTCTAAAGTGGTTTCACTGATTAATCGAAATATAATTATAAATAATCAATCTATAGCTTGTGAATTTGTGAATTTTTAGAATTTATGTTCATTTTATCTTATTTCAATCCTGAGAAAATTTTATTTATGTTTATTTTATTTTATTTCAGTCCGGAGAAAATCTATAAAATTCGTTCTTGATAAGAAAGACTTTTTGTTTGTAGGATTTATAAGATAAAGGCAATTTTGGGATAAGGGTAATTAGGAAAAGAGAGAGAATACCTTATCTAACGAATTTGCTAAAATTATTTTGAATTTATTTGATTAAACTTCAGCAACTAAATAAATATCCATTAATTGTCGTTTATTAAATTATTAAGAATTTCGTATAGGATCGCTAGCAAATAATTTGAGATTTATATATTTTTTAATTTAATTTATTGTATGCAATAAAATCAAAACAGCTTAAATAGGGGAAATTTCTAAATATATATGGCTTTGATCACGCTTAATTAAAATCATTAAATTATCGAGTGCAATAAGCAAAATAAATTATGAATGTTCTAAATTTGATAAAGGAAGAAAGGAAATAGTGATACTTTGACCGTGATTCGCGCTATTTAGTGAAATAAGGCCTGTAAGGAATTTGGAGAGATATCCTAGAATTTGTAGAATTTATCATCATTCTTTAGTTTTTTTGAGAAAATTATCCTTAAATTTTGCGGAAATTTTTATTTTTTCACTTAACACAATTTAACATACGTAAACATGAAATTAGTACATTCCATACGAAGAATTCTGCAGGTGAATCTTCCTTCATAAATTATTCAACAGCTTAAATAGGGGAAAAAAATCTCAATCGAAAAACATGATTTATGATTTAAATTTTGGCTTTTTGACAGAAAAATCTATGCCCCCCAGAGAGTCTATAATAAACGAGATAAGTTCATCTCATTTTTTGCTTGGTTCCGTTCAAAGAATGTTTTATCAAATTTTATATTAATTACCGCTGTTTGCCACCAAAACTATCAGCAAAGGAAATGAAAAAGATTGTGGAGTTGCAAAAATAGGTAAATAATATATCTCCGTTATCCATAAGCTTAAGGCCAATAAAAAAGAAGATCGTCTTCGGATCGAACTCTTCAAGTGTTGTCTATCATCGTTCATAACTCACGTTCAACAAATGTATTCTCTGGTATGGCAAAAAGAAACTAAGAAAACTGACAAGACGTACTGCGACGATTACCCGAGGAATCAGCCTACTAGATCTCCGTTTCCCTTTTTGTTTCCCTTCTGCATAAATAGATTCATAGCAACAGAATGTGTCCTAACCAAGCTGAATTCAGACCGGGACGCGATTGTGCTGACCAGATATTTATGCTAAGAAGGGTGCTGGAACATCGCTTCAAATATCAGCAATCCACTGTTACTTGCTTTATCGATTTTGCATCTGCTTTCGATTCGATTGATAGAGCAGCGCTCTGGAAAGTGATGGAATGTGACAGAGAAGATCATTCGGCTCATAAAGGCATTTTATTAGCATCCCTGGCGTAAATCTGTGTACATGGAGAACTGACTGACCCTTTCGAAATAAGAAAATGTCTGTTAAGGATGCATCCTATACCGGTTGAGGAAGCGTTCAATTTTAAATACCTATTACCTATTACCTTGGGTCCACTCTATTACCAAATAGCCAGGCAAAAAACGATATTATAACTAGGATAATGGCAGCTAGAAATGCATTCTTGCGGTTGACGAAATTTTTATGGAGTCTTCGTGAAATCACCATAAAAATGAAAGTCCGCATCTATGTATATAGTCGTGATTCATTCGGTCTTACAATATGGCTCTGAGACATGGCCAATAAGAGTGGAGGATATTAAGAAGTTTTCTGCCTTTGACCACTCTTATCTAAGGTACATTTTACGGGTTCGTAAAGTGGATAAAATATTACATGAGCCCACCTTCGTTCAAATATTAATAATGTTGTCATAGAGGGTCGCCTTCGCTAGTTGGGGTACGTCGTCCACCACAGGAGTTGACGCATATTTCGTTATTTGCTAAACCATGTGATGGATGGCGTCAAAAGCGAGGTAGGCCAGTCAAGACCTGGACTGATACGGTCAGGAAAGGTTTTGAACGTATAGGTGGACCAGCAATATATGGACTCAGACGATTGAAAAAGGAATGGCTTCTATTACTGTCGACGATGGCATCAGACCTCGCTGCTTAGAAGCGTCTTACCCTTTTAGCCGTTGCAGCCAGCCTAACCAGTAATGGTGAGAGCTGTTAGAAGAAAAAAAAGAAAAAACTTTATTGAGAAACCAATGAAAAAATAAAACCAATGAGCTGAAATTTCTTTCACTAGGTTATTGAGTCTCGTGGTTCAATTCTTGCTTTCTAACAGAAGTTAATCATTGAAAAATAATTATAATCAATGTGATGTACTCTCCATGTATACATTTGTATACGAGTGGTTATGTGGTAAAATCATTTTTTCGCATTATTGGGACAAGCCTAACTATGAATAAAAATAATGTTTGCTAACTCGCTTACCTCCAATTTATGCTTTCAAATATTTCTAATTTTTGTTATGGCTAACTTTTTGCTTATTTATTAATAATTTTTATTATATTATATTTGTATGCATATTTGAAGTTTTTATAAAATTTATTTAATAAGATAATCGGAGAGTGCTTAAAGCGATTTTCAAATTATTAAAATTGATTTTTTCGAATCTACCGTTTTCATTGGGAAAAAATGAGACATAAAAAATCTAAGAATGCAATATAAGTGGATAATGTAGATTTACTAAAAACTCTTATTTTGCTGAATCGCTGAAATACTTGAAAATTTTTCTTCCAATTGGTAGCGCTTTTAGCTTCAACAAATCTCGTTAAGAAACAAAAACTCGAAACAATAATCTTAAATTTGAGTTTAAAAAAGCCATTTTTTCTCAACACTTTGCTCTAAATAGTTTATATATTTAAAAAGTTATAAAAATAAGTAATGCGAAGAACTTATTTGGGAAATAAGCATGCTAATATAATAATAATATGATAATAAATTCATCACTGTTATTATCATTGTTCGCTTTTTTTGCTAGATTTTGTAACTCGTCAGAATGCCATGTTGCTATTCGATTTTTTTCTAGAAATATGTCAATGAAAGACTGAATAAATCATTTTTATCTACTCTTATAGAAAAGGAAAATTATTTGGCCATTTTGGCGAGTAATTAAGGCTCGAAGCTATATTTATCACTCTAAAATAATTTCATTTCTTTTTTGCCATAATTATTTGAAAATGAAAAAGTAGAATAGGTTCATACAATTTTTTCCAATCCAGTAAATTTTTTTAAAAAACAGTTTAGTTTATTAAAAAATTTTCCGATGAATTAATCGATGGAAAGCTTTTAATGATAAAAGAAATGCGACAATCTCTTAAAATTGCATCCAAGTGCGTCCAGTTTTACTGAGCAATTTCTTTATATTATCGACAGTGATGATAGTGGTGAAAATCGGCAGTAATGAGCACCTTAAAATGGCTATTAAGTTATATAGTGGTAAACGAATTTTTTTAGATTATAAGATACCGGTAGAGAGAGCTAGAAATTGAAATAGAAAGCCCGAAAGCAATTCTTCGAAATTTCTGGAGGATCCATTAAATTAAGGATCAATTAATTAAATTGAATTGGTTATCTGATAGAATTGTCCATCATGTAAATTTTTCGTATCGACGCGCTTTTACCTATCTTCGATATTAGCCTAAAATTTGAAGCTTATCTATATCAGCTGAAACAACCAGTAGTTTGCATTAGCTTCGAAAAAAAAATTAAGGTAACACACCCGGATTTTTGAACAGATTTACTCCTGTGGAGAAAATAACTTTAGTAAGTCCTCCGAATTGAGCAACAATCATCCTATCCTCAATAATTAAATAATAATAATTAAAAATAATAAACATTTGATATTTTTAAATAAAAAAGTTGAACTATTCAACAAAAAAGAAAAATTATCAATATTAAAAATTTCTCAAAGCATTAAATAACTGGTACAACCTACAACGGCTAACAAATTAATGCAGTGAATATCCAAAAAAAGACGATTCCTTATAAAAAAATAAACAAAAATGAATTTCAAATCTGTTGATAAAATATTTCGATTATTTTTCATCATCACTTGCGATAAAATTCTCGGCTGAGAATATTGCTGATGAATTCATATCATCGTTGAATAAAGGGCTATAGATTTTTGGCTCTTTTCTTCAAGCGTGAGCATTTCTGACCAAATAGCATTCCTATTAGCTACAAACAAATTATTTGTTATACCAAGCGGAAGTTCAAATAAATTATAGAAATTTCGAGTCCCAAAATCTTGCAACAGGAAGGAGATTGCCGCATCATTTTCCATGATCGGCTGTTGCTTCAAACGCGTATTTTCACTAATAAATGGAGAAGCCTCCAGATTAAGACGAAAAGATCTAACTGCATTAGACAAATCTTCTGGTGTATTTTTCAAGGAGGTCGACGCTGTAGAACTTCCAGGAAGCTGCCATATGCTTTCACTGTTATCATTTCTTCCCGAAGAAGCCTAGTGTTGAAAAGGAGAGACTAAAGCCAGGCCAAATCTCATTCGGTTCCATCTTCCTCTCTGCTAGATATTTTGCTTCCGCTATGCTCTCGTTATAATTGTTGCATGAAAGCGCTTGGTTGCCTTCCATCCGGTTTATTAAGTAATTTATCAAAGTAATATTGCGATGAATGAAAAGCATCGCAATAATTCGTATGTTCACAGTTGCAAACGAGCACTCGATTTTTTTCCATAAACAAACGACGAAGAGCGACATCACAGTTTCTATTTGAATCGTTTCCTTTCGAACCTAATGAAAAACTTTTTAGATGTCCTAATTGATGCTTAACTGGAAATGTCAAATATCCATTCCTGTGCTCCTGAATCACTTAAATCCGCTTGCTGATAAGTTGTGTGAAACTCGATCATTATTGTTAATACTGATATTGTTGCTTTGCTAAACTGATTCTTCATTCGAAAAGACTAGAATATTTTCTATATTTTTCGCAAGCGCTGGTTGTATCATTTCCAGAATTATTATTGATGGAAGAATTATTAAGCCCACAGTGAAGAGATTTAGGCTCTTCTGTACTGCGTTTGACGCTTAATTTTTCAGCTATTTTCGGCAAAATAATGGATGGATTAAAAAACCAAGGGACGATTCTCATGCTGCTAGGCAGCTCCAGCTTTTCTTGATCGCGGATCATTTCACTATTTTTGGAAATAGCTGACTTTGGTTGTGAAGATGGCACCTTTGTTGCGATATTGCTCTGGATGAATTCTTCATAAATGAATTTAACGGCGCCTTCATTTCCAGATCAAGCAAGGAAGCCAATTTGTTGTTCATTTTAAGATGCATTTTTCTCGTTCCCACATTTATATTGAAATGATGCACAGATAAAGTGTCTGGTTCTTTTTCAACAGGTAAATAATCTTTGCTTACTCGTTCTTTCAGAACACAGTTTGACTGCCGGCATCTTAATCTTATGATTCTTAGGATTTTGCGCCGTAACTGGAAGCTGATCATTGCGAAATTGGCAAATGAAAGAAAATAACCAAAGTATGCCATTTGTGAAAAATAAATTAATAAAATTTTTGATTGGAAGCAGTGGGATGCTCGCCTGCCACGCGTTAGTTATATTAGAAAAATCTTGATCCGACTGCTTTCTCAGGACAGTGGAATAAAAATTGCTTACCGCACGAATTGATAAAAATTTTTATTCCGTTACCTCAATCTCAAACTTGGGTAATTAAACCAATTAATATATAGTGATACGAAAAACAATATTCATATTAAATCCAGACAAATATTCCAAAACAAATAAATATAAATATAAATAATGATTAAAAAGTAACTATAAAATGAAAATAAGAAAGTGTAGGATAATTAAAATATTGGGACCCAATCGCTTGGGCTCCTTGATGGCACCAAAGGAATAGTTTTTTTTGAAAAGGATATCCATCATATACTTATGAATTGACCTCTATTCTTTATCGACATATGAAGATAAGGAATTAATGAATAAATGAAAGGCTTCTTTTGGCGAGTCGGGTCATTATTTTGAAATAAAAAATTTAAAATAATAGAAATATGGCATTTTGCGACACCATTGGCTGTCTGCCAGAATGATCGAATCAAAATATTGGAATCTTTTGCATAAGGCGAAACACGCCGTCGAGGTGGGGGACGAATCGGGCTTTTTGAATTTACTGCATTTTGTCTCTTATCCGGAATACTGGAAAATCGCCATTGATAGGGATTTAAATCGAAAAACTCGTCTTGTCAGAGCATATTACTGCTTAATAGCGCATATACGATCACCATACGAATTGCCACAACACAAATCAAATATTAGTGCCAAAATGTATGAGTAATACATGATGTTCTCAAAAGGGAGTCGAAGCAATGCACGTGACACTTTACTAACATATGTTTGGAGATAGAAGCACCAATAGGAAATAGCCAAGATCACCCATTTATATGCATATAAAACTGTAGAGCTGCTTCATTCCATATCAAAAAGTCTGGAGTGTACGCTATATCAAGAATATAGGATTCATTAAGTGATAACTGGAACGTTGACATTTGAGAATTCTGAAGCCTCTATTCTCACATGGCACGTTGTTAAGGCTCATATTTACCACAGTAAAAGGTATTTCACCGGTATTTGCCACTACAAACGATCTCTAAGAATTGTGAACAACTTGTGAGTCAAAGTTAGGATCTTAGAATTATGGCAATCAGCTAAATGATGTTTCGGACAGCAAAGGATTTAATGTCCTTGCGAAATATCCATCCACGTGCATATCCATTCGCGCTCCATGACCACACAAAACAACAGGTTCAATAATAGTCAAGTTATTACTGGGCTTAAAATTACAAACTTTTTATCAATGAAAAGCAATGCACTTTATTTCACTTTGTTCATTTTTATTTAATATATTTTTAATTATCTGCCTTTAAAAAATATATATATAGACAAATTTTAAATACCTTGGGGTTCACTTTAATACCAAATGGCCAGGCAAAAGACGATGTTATAGCCCTGATCATGGCAGCTAAGAATGCGTTCTTCCGTTTGGCGAAACTTTTATGGAGCCTTTTATGTGAAAACTTTTGTGTCACCATAAAAACGAACACAAATCACCATAAAAACGAAAGTGATCATCAACATAGTTGTGATTCATTTGGTCTTCCTATATGGCTTTGAGACATGGCCAATAATAGTGGAGAATATTAAGAATTTATCCGCCTTTGACCACTCTAATCTAAGGTAATTTGCGGGTTCGTAAAGTTGATAAAATATTACATGAGTCCACCTTCGTTCAAATACCACTTATATTAATAATATTATCATAGAGCCTCGTCTTCGCTGGTTAGCGCATCCACCACAAGCGCACTTGTCGCATATTTCGTTACTTGCTAAACCGTTATATACAATAATACTATTGAATGGAGTCAAAAGCGAGATGGGCCAATCAAGACCTGAACTTATACGGTCAGGAAAGATTTTGAACATATAGGTGGACCAGCAATATATGGATTTAGACAATGGAAATAGGAATGGCTTCTATTAGTGTTGACGTTGGCATAGATCGCGCCGCTTGGAAGTCTTACCCTTGTAGCTATTAGAAGAAGAAGAATTATTTGTCTTCAACCTTTTCTTTTTAAATTTAGTGTGGTATTAAATAGTTCATGAATTAACTGTATTTTATTCGAATTGCATTTTTCGTTATAAAAAAGATTTGAGGCGAGAAATTTGTTAAATGATCGAAGATAAATGATTGGACATATCATGCTTCATTGATTGACATTATGTTATCAATTTATCAAAACAATAATGCATTTGGTCTTTTTTTTAATCTGTATATGGTTTAAGATTTATCATTCCACAATTTATTTCATTTTCGAATTCTGTTGAATTTTTTAGAAATTTTTCGTTTAATCCAGAGGAATTTCCAGAAAATATATTATAAATTATGTATTATATAGGAAATATATATTATAAAGTGTCATTAATCATTAAAAATTTATAAAGTAAATATTTTTGTATTAAATATTGGAAATGATTGGTTTCTCGTTGCAAATTTGGAAAATTCGTTTACGCTTTGCTTTTCCTATTTTATCGGCTAATTTCCTTTCGGAAACTATTTAAGGCCATTTTCCTTAATTACTAACTCTCTTTTCAATTACGAAAACCCTAAAAAAATACCTTATGTTCACGCAAAATTTGAGAAATGCTGAATTTAATAGTTTTTTTTTTTTTTAAACCATTTGTTACAGCTAATAATGTTGCTGCTAATTAAATTATTAATAATATACAGTTATGTTCAATGATGGATTTGAAATTGACTTCGAAAATTTTAGTATTATTCTCCCTTCATCCTTCGCCATATTTCATTTATGGAACTATTTAGAGTCTTAGCAATCAAAAAAATGGGCTCATTTCTGATTTAATTTGCGCTGCAGAGAAATAGAATGAGCAGTTAAATTATAGAGGATTCATCTTGACAGTTCAAAAAAATTCGTTTTTGATTCATTTACTTATATATTTCTGATTTGATTTCACAGAGAAAAGAATGAAAACCTCTTCTCCAGCGATTCATTTGGGAATAAAAATACAGGTGGTTCTTGAAATTTTTTAATTATATGCTCATTCTTTTTAATAAGCTCATTTGAGCTGAAGTAATAAACTTTTTATTATTTCAGCTCAAATTTCATAAGTTTTTCCTAAACAGGAGACCAAAAATCAGAATTAAAATCAATAGGCTTTTGGAAAAAAAAAGCTTTTTTTTGACCATTTAGGATATAATAATTGTTGACTCCATGAATCTCCATTTTATCAAGGGTGAAAGTGGTTATAAATGAATATAATTTTATTTTATTGAATTGTAAATGTATGGAAAATGATGAAAGTTAAAGAAGCTCTAGCAGATAAATAGAAATTGGAGAGCTATCCACTTGTTTCTCCAACCCCAAGTAACTCTCCAACGAAATGGCTTGAATCTAGATTTAAGTGGAACCAACAAAACCAGATATGGTGAATGAAAGAATGAAAAAAACTAAAGGGAGAAAGCTTTTCTTAATTAATGTATTTTTATTTCCAGAACATTATTGGCTTATTTTAGTCATATTTATTCACATTTATGACACATCGAATAATAAAGCTATTATGATATGATATTTTTTTCAAATATCTCTATTATTTATTATTTCCACTATTTTTAAAGCTTTCTAAATAATATTTATTATTGCCAGACGAACCGCACTCATCTCAACTAATCGAGCTTTCCATATTTTCTTTTAAGGTTTTCTTATTTCCTAATTTATTGAGAATGAATGATTTCCTTTTTTTTCTCCTTCTTGTATTTGTTCCAACGTTGGAAATAATTTTTGTTTAGTGAAAGGATGAAACTACTTGTAGTTCGAGACCAGAGTTCAAAAATTCTGGGCCATCGTTGGCTAAATTCTCAGATATCATTTTATATTGGTGTCGTGCAACTTATAATCTGTATTTGGGCAATGGCTCAACATATTTATTCACTTAAACGATTTAATAAGGCTAGTAAAGTTTTTTATTTGCCTGTTGCTTCTATTTCTAATGGTATTTCTAATTTGGATAATTTTACTGTCTATCCAAACCTTAAATAATTTGGCCAGGAATTTGAGAAGTCGAGAATAGAAGCACAAATACTTAGCACAATTACATGAACTTGACAGGTTTCTCTCAGAGGCAGAAATCGAAATATGATGCCTTCTTTCTATTAAGGTTTTTTACTATATTTTTCTGATTTTAAGACGAGATTTGCTATTTTAAATCAATGCTTATGACTTACTGCTTATAACTCTTAAAATATCATAAACATAAACATTTTCAATCATTTGTCAATCATTTTAAAATATCTATTACTAATTCAAGCAATCGAAAAATAATCGAGATAAATCGTCGTTGAATTTCAGATTTTATTTTGCGACTTTATTAATGGAACTCAACCGTCATTACTCGTCAGCGTCGATATGATCATATTTGACATCGGTCTTTTTCATGCTCTATGGGGCATCGATAACTGTGTTGCTCAATATCTTGATGGCGGTTATGGTCGTTTTGGATGGTGCATTTGCCATATAACTGCATTTATTATTTGCTTACCTTTCGCATTCGTTGCGCGGCCAAGGCCTTATTCATTATGGCCGCTTTTAATTCAGGTTTCTTTTAATATGGAATCTGGAAAAAAGTGCAGCAGAAAAATTTAGTGAATTTTCTTAAGTTAAATTTGTTTAAAAGAACTTTTCTTGAATATGATGACCTGGAATAGCAAAAATATTTTAGCAGAGTGCCTACGGTATTGGATTATTAATTTTGAGCCTCGCAGCACTACCACGAGTTTTACCAACGTTCACAGGTGCGCAGAATAGTGCATCGTTGTTTTCGATTTCAGTGTATGCATTTGGTTCATCAATGAACTTTTTTTTGGTAATTATTCTTTTGTTTTAAATTTAATTTAAAATACTTTTAAATCATATCAATTTAGATTTTCTTCGGATTTTTTTCTTCAGTTCTCTCGTTTTCTTCAAATTTTTAAAGTTTTTCAATTTTTGGATTTTTTTAAATTTTTGATTTCTTAGGTTTTTTGATAATAAAAATATTAAAAATGTTAAAAAAATATTAAAGATATTTAAAAATATTAAATATTAAAAATATTAAAAAATATCTTTTAAGAAACAATTTATTTTTTAGATAAAATTTTATTAAATTTTTTCATTTATTAATCAAAATTATTTATCAAAATTTATTTTCATTTCATTTATTTTGCAAAAAAGTAGAAAAATTTCGAGCCAATCTGATTATTTGCGGGTTTTTTCGTGGTCTTAATTTTGCAATGATATAATGCAATGCATAAATGCTCATCTTTTCTGGTTGAGTTCACTCAACTGGTTGTACTTAGAATGGGACAATTTTGCTAGGAATACTTTGAGATAAAAAATAAGTCCTGAAACATCATCCCGATAAGTCGAGAACCATCCCGACTTTTTAATGGCAGATTTATTCTCATTAGGGGCTGGAGATGAAATCCAAGACTAGCAATGGACGCTATATTACCACGAATACAAAACATTGAATTATAGCTTTATATATATTGGCACTGGTATTGGCATGTGGAGTTAATGTGGGATTCAGCACGCAAATTGCAATCACATAAGGTGAAAATAAATTCAAATACACCGAAATTCACCAGAATTCGTCACCGAGAAGATTATAATGAAATGTTAAAACAATCATCGCTTTATTTATCAAAAAATGGTATAAAAATAAAGGAAGCGATTCCGTCAGGAAGAAAGGAAGATTATGGAAAAATTAAAAAACCGAGTAACGATAGTCTTGATAGGTTATTTTTTTAAAAATTTAATCTTTCCAGAAATTTTAAAAAAATCATGAAATATGGATTTCGCAGTGTCGAAGCAGTAAAATTATGAATCAAATTAAAGGATTTAAGGGAACTAAGAAAAGGATGAAACAGCCTTCCAAATGATATTATCCAATATTGCCTCTAATTTCTGCAAAACTTTGAGACAAGTCAATAAAAAGAAAACCACAAGCGCTTCATTTCGTTTTAACAATGAGATTTATTATTGCTAAATCTCTTACCAAGAATTTGTTACCGAACTCGTAACAGAAATAGATGCCACTCTGCTAACATTACGATGTGAATAAAAATAATGTTCACGCAATTTAATTAAGTTTTTTTAGGTAGATTAGAGCCATTTTAGCCATTATGTTGAGAATCAGGAATTCTTAATTTATCCTGCTTTCAGCAGGAGTAAATTTGTTATTGATAAATTAAAGTGGTGACCCACATCAGATGATAACTCCCTGAAAAGAATTTATCATAACAACAGCCAGTGGAGCCAACCAGAAATGGTTAACCACTTGCTTTTCGTTTTGCTTAAGTATATAATTAAATAAATGATAACAAATCGTGATTTTTTTTTGATAGAAAAATATTTTTAGTAAAATATTTTGTTACCGAATTCGTAATATAAATAGTATACAACATCAATATTTTAATTAGATTTATGAATTAATGATTGTAGTCAAAAAAATGAAATCGATCAACGAACGATTAACAAAAAACAGAAGTTTTGCACGAAAAATGGTCCTGAAAATCCTGAAAAATGTATTGAAAAGAATTACGAATCGTTTCGGAAGAATGATAGAAATACGTTTCAAAAACGAATTATAACTGAGTTAGAACAAAATAGATTAACCAGCAATGCAAACTTAAAAAATGGAGATATATACGATAGGATTACTAAAGAAAAGCAGCGTTCCTCATCGGTGCGGTGTAAGAACATTAAAAATGTGAAGCCATTAACAAAACAAGAATCTATGGATTACTGTGATGGTGATTTTGAAGATGGATCAAATTCATGGAAATCAGCACATTTGCTCACAAAGCACCGATGTGAAAGTTTGAAAGAACCAGAGTTTTTCCATCGACTGATGGAAGATAAAAAATATCAAATTGGAGCATCAACGAAAATTTCGAGTTATCAAGGCGGAAATAAGCGAATCAAACATTCTCTGCCAAATCACTTATCACGGTCGGAGAATTACTTCAGGCAAAAAAACTGCTTCGAAAATTTTAATCTTTCTCCTAGTGAAAGACTTTTAAGCACAAAAGTATTAATGGCAACAAAATATAATGACAAAGCAAATCATTTTACCAAATATTTTTATGAATCGTAATGAAAAATTTTCATCAATTGTACTTTTTAAAGATAACATTTCATTTCGAAGGGCAAATAAGGCAATAAGTGTGCTCTCGAGTTAGTACAAATAACAAAAAACACAAAAGAATATATTACTAATTTAAAAGATTATTTATTTATTTGACAAGCCATGTATTTGCATTAATAACAGCAAAATAAAATGTCAAATGAAAAGAAATTAGTGATATGATAGCGATATGATGTACAGAAGGAATGGAAGGACCAAGAGGAATAAAATAAATAAAGAGGAATTACGAGATTACGATAAGTGGAACTGAATACTGAATACTGACAGACAATCACATGCTGATGATCGACATTTCGGACACTTCCTGCGCAATGTGAAGCTTTTAAAAAATATCATATTTTTTTAAAAATAGCCAAGAACAACGGCCAAGGACAAACCACGTCATTTCACAGCATATTGGAACTATTATAATATTAAAACGAATCGGGGATATACTGGTTAGCGACCACCATTGTTCTACTGGCTATTAATATGATGAGATATTTTTGCCAAAGGGTTATTTGGATAGAAACAGAGATGCAGACATACGAAGCAGTGCATTCGGATTTTAATGATGGGTTTGCTCATGTCAGGGGTTTGCTGAGACGATAATCTGAATAATAGCCACTCGGCTGTCTACTGCGTCCTGCCTCTAGGAACTGGCGATATAAGAACTGTCCCTGACTTTTTTACGCTCGTTTTTTATTCCTTATCATTTCAATTATGCTTATGGTTTTTTTGGCTTATTTTTTATTTTTGCAGTAATAAAAATTGAAAACATGCGTGCATTTGTTATTAATGAAAATGTCCAACGTATTTATTGGTAAAAATGATTTTAAATTGGGCCATTCTTAATGGACAATCGATGCAGAAGAATATCCACAAATATATTTCCTCATTTACTTCCTCAACAAATATCCATTTGGAAAGTTTTCACTGGAATTTTTTTAAAAATTCGCGGATCCTCAACCGTTTCATTTCCTTTTAAATATATTGCAGACTGGATCTGACATTTACTTCGTAATTTAAACTAATAAACGGTCTGCTAAAAATTTTTGCTAGGAAGAGACTAGAGAGGTGATAAAAGAGATGTGTCGCCAGCACCATAAGAGTTAGAAGCTCAGTCTGTCGGAAGCAAGTCGGAAGCAAGAGTCGAGTGTCTGTCCTAGAAACTAATTATAATTTTTAAATGTACTTTAAATTCTGGCACTTTTCATAATACAAATAAAATAAAATCGAACTGATGTGAATCGCTGAAACCGCTAAATAACGGCATGCGGATGCTGATTTAGCTTAAAAAACGTTTAAAAAACAAACCGCATGTCGGCCATGCAAACCGCAAACTATTCGGAACTATTCGACGAGAATCAAATTCCTCAAGTAAACTGAAAATGAATTCCATATTTCCGATCAAAAAATAACCAATTTCTTATAAAACAGACACTCTTTAACTTCAATTCGTCTTTCTTTTAAATTGAAATTTTTAAAAGCAAATTTCGAAATAAAAATAGGATTTTCCATCGACTTCACTTCGACTTTGGCCGCCTTCCGTTGTGGCATGTCGCATAAATCGACGTATAAATCCTCGCTAGACGACTATCGCCGTTTTAAATGAAACCGAAGCCAACATTTCTGGCCAAATTCTCTAAAATCTCTTCATTAGCCGACTTATTAGCCAAATTTAAACCGCCATAATCCGCTTTATCTCCCACCTAATCTAAAATATTTACCTGGCGATGAACGATGAACTTCCAAACTTAACAACTTTCGGTCGCAGTGAACATCGTAATAGAAGTATATCACGACTAGTGCTACTCTTATTTAACCGGCCGAAAGAAGCCGCGGTAGAAACTACGGCCGCATAATAGATTTTGCTCCTAATTAGTTTAGTTCCTGCGACGGTTCTTGCAATAAATTGGCGTAGGGTGTGGCGAGGAACTGATGGCCGGTTCTTGTATTTTTCGGGGGTCCAGTTTTTGGGCTCTTTATCTGATGGTGGTTTGTGGAAGCACTGACCCATACTTTCAAAAATTTGTAATTTGTAGAAATATAATTTATAAGGCACTAGCAATACTGTTTTCTGTTTCAGATTGATGTAGTTCAGCTGTCGTTTCCTTAATTTTTTACGTACCAGTCATATCTACGAAAGGGCCTTTACTTACCCGTAAGATTTAATGGAGCCGTTAAGAAATGGTTGTAAATATTGTTGTAGATGGAATCAGAAGCCAAATCCAAGCGCACTATCTTGCTTCGAGCCACCGAAGGGATTGTAGGGATTAAAGAAGGTTTTAAGGCTAAACTTGCCACAGGTAAAGTAGAGGGAGAGAAAAGATAGGGAGGATGCGCGCAGATGTTCCGCCGGCGCACTGTTCACTTAATCGGAAAGTTCCGTAATACTGGATTAATATGGAACAATTACTGTTTTTTGGTTGTTGAATAACAGTACTTTCTTCCGGTTTTATTTTGTTCAATTTTG